CGAGCGCTCTCGGTCCCTTCGGGCGAGCGTTTCGCGAACACGCTGAACCGCCGCGCCGCGGCGATAAGGATCGTCGCGCCCCACGATGAAATCGATTTTTCGTCAGCCGGCTAACGGCAGATTTAATTAAGATACAGGATCGCGTGGAAATTATTACACGTTGGAGCGGACGGCTCCTCGACGCGAATTCGGGCGACGTTTCTGCGGATCGGCTCGCGGACGCAATCGATTTCAGCGTGGAATCGAAACGTCGTTAGGAGTGTTCGAAGCAGCGGCGACATCGTGGATCTCGGAACGCCCGATGATCCGAGTGAAAGGATAGAAGCGAAGATTACTTTTGAATCGCAACACAATCGCCGCCTACTCGGAAATATTAATACCTCGAGCATCGGGTAAACGGGCGGCAGAACGTCGGGCCCGCGGTGGAAAGTCAGAGATACCGTCTCTATTGCCGCGACGTCCGCGAGTGAAACGTTGATGTACGTTAATTGCTCGAACACGATCGGCAATTTGTATACACTCGACAAATATGGCCGCCCGTAAAGTGCATTATCGGTGGAAACTATTAGAAGACAAAGCCGCTTAGGAACAATGGATCCGATATAACGAAGGAGCATCCTTCGGGGTACGCGCAGCCAGAAACATTTATTTCTGTGAAGGAAAACCTTGGCATACATATTTCATCTGTCACGATTCCCGATCACGATCCTTTCGTCGATTTCGTAGAAAAATAATAATATCCCCGCGCGAGCCGCTCCATCTCCGATTACGACCCCTCGGAAATCTCCGCTCGAAACGGCGCGGCCGTACCCGCGTGGCATCTCGCGTCGAACCGCGGACCCTATTATCCATTTATATTATTCCCAGTGTCGATCGATCGCCTCCATCTCAACAATTACACCTCCCTCGGATTCGCTTTGCTGTATTTCGAAAGGTCACCGAGTGTCGGCGAAATAGACCGTTCTTAGAGGGACTTAGAGGCTGGGGCCTGGCCGTCTCTCGCTCGCACGATCGCCTCTGCAGGGAGCATAAGAGCGATTCGAAGATAGCGGTGCCGGACGGCTCACGTCATAATAAAATTAAATTCATATCTGGGATCAAGAGAATGCGATAGCTACCGCGACATGACCTCCCGTTCATTGTAAGCAAACACGTATGTCCCCGTTCATCTCTTCTCTCCCACTTGTTCTTCTTCCTCCTCCGCCTCCTCCTCCTTCTATTTTTCCTCTTCGTCTTCTCCTTCTACCTCTTCCTTTTCTGCCTATCCCTTTTAACGTCTACCGTCTCTCTTTCGGCCCCGTTTCTCGCGCTCCGTTCCGTATCTCTTTCTCCGTCTCGAATAGTTTTGATTCATGAGAAGGGTGTAACCCGAGCATGCGTGTATAACACGGTGTGCGTGTGTGCGTGTGCGCGACGGTGTACACGTGTGTGTGCACACCTTGAGGTGTGTATCTACACTCCTCTCTGTACACCTCGTTCCGTTCTCTTCTCCGTCTAGCGCGTTCTTCCGACGGACAAGGCGAAATCCGACACTGCATACCAGTAACTCGACTTCCAACCCGGCGCCCACCCTCTTTCTTCTCTCGCCTTCTCTCCTCCACCTTTTCCTCCCACCATATCTCTAACTCTTCCACCATAGCCGCCGCCGCCGCCGCCGCCGCCGCTGCCGACGACGACTACGACGACGACGTGCGGGACGAAAACGAGGTCCCGCCTGACTCTCTACGTGTGATCGCGCGAGCGCGAGCGGCCTACGTTTGAACACGTGTCAACATGTCGGTTGACATAGATTTTTCGCCGAGATAGAACCCCGAAAAATAAAACGAGAGGCCCCGAAACGCACCCGAGAGGAGATGCTTGATCGACTCTCCGCCATGGGAGCTCGGAGTGTGAGAAAGAGAATCAACGGCGGAACGGGGGAGGAGAGAATCCCGAAAACCAGTTTGTACATTTCGAGGAGGCGCACCGTTCGTAAAACTACGGCCGGTCTCTCTCTCCCCGGGGCCCGCCTGCGGACCCGCGTTTAACACCGGCAGGCATAGTGTTGCATTGTTGGACCGCTCCGCTTTTAAGATCCCTGCGTCGTGTTTGTCCCTTAATTGATGACTCTCTTTCCACGAGTGTTATTAGTATTATAAGGCTATTAGCCTTGCACCTCGCCTCGGCGAAACAACCGGAGATTAACGTACTTGCTCTCCCACTCGCGCAGTCCGCTCGAACATTGTACTTTTCAAGGGGATGCAACAGCTACTCACAGTTTAATCTCGCTTGCAACCGGATCGAGAATTTTCGGACTTTGCATTACGCGTGGTTTGTTGAAGTTCGGTATATGGAAAGTTTGATACATTTCTGCGAGTCTACTATTTCACTTGGAAGCTAATAGAACTGTTAGGTTCTTTAAATATTTCTACCTCCATACCTATATTTCTATTTCTATTCTTTAAATATTGTTACTATTAGTATAAGTACAAAATTGAGTATTTTATTTCGCGACAATTAATTAAGGACAAACTTTGATAAAGTAAAATGTCCGATTTGTAGTCGTGGTAAGAATTGTAGTACTGAGTTTAATATGAAAAAAACATCAGTAAATATTAAAAAAGAATGAAACAAAATGGAGTTTTCGTTCAACGAAAACACTGGTATCCCGACGCGAAGCACACAAAGTCTCGGCCGCCCATTCATTTCTCTCCTATGAAAGAACAGGCAACTTCACTCGTCGAAGAAATGACCCGAAACTTCCGAACGGTAGCATAAAAACGTAGCTCGTAAAATAATATAGTCGATATTCATGGCACTTCGATCCCCGAAGGTTTCTCGTTATTCTCCATTTGCATCCGAATTTCCGTAGAATCGGGGACGCTCAAAGCGTGGCCGCGCGGCCCGGGTAAACGGATTCGTTTCGCGAAAAAATTACAAGGAAACCAATCCGGCCGGTCGGCCGAGCCGCGCCGATTTTTCCCGGTGACTGTTTTCATCGATACCAACCGGGTAATCGACATTCATGATATTTCCCGAGCGAGGAGATCCATCGCTGCCGATCCATTTCCGGCGTTCGGTAATTTTCTTCCTACGTACGTACCGTCCACATGATTCATTCGTCCGCGGCGAAAGACCAAGGTGTACACGTATACGTGTTCCGCGTGCACGCCGGCGCCAGGACCGCGGGGTGAAAGTTGTGATATATCCGTTATAATTTCGTACGGGTCGGCGTATTGCTTCCGTATGTAGGAACCATTTGTTCCGGAAAATAGCGCAATTTTGTCTCCCTCGCGCGGCACGGCTACAAGCGCAATACCTTCGTGGATATAATTTAAACAAGGGCTCTTTATGTAACACGCTCTATTTATTTGGGCATACCTTCCCGGTCCTCCTGTCCGCCGTATACAATGCCCATGCGGAACGTCACACAATTTCTGTTAAACGTCCTCGCCCTCTAATGGACGCGTCGGCTACGGCCCCCGGGCTTCCGCGAAAATATATTATATTTTGCGGCTTCGGCCAGGGACAATGCCGGATTTAACCCGGCAATTGGCAATGTATGCCAGCCGTGGCCACGAATTTTTCGTGTTTACGCGGACGTACGGCGGCCCCCGTGTCCCGTTTATTCCGGGCTGGAAATCAAACGCGCGGGATATGATATTCCCGCGCCGCCCGCCAAACTTCGCCGGTCTGCTCAAATATTTGTCCCGATCGAAAAATGACGATATCTCCGCCGCTAAAAATTGTAAAGCTGCTGCGGGGTGCGGCGATGTTTTCCGGCCCCCGACCGCGGCTGGGAACGTGCCGGCGAAGCACGCCGTGAAATACAAAGTCGGACCACATTGCGTTCGTCGTCGAATGCATTGCGAGTAGAATTAACTCGTGCAGCGATAAGTCTGACATGGCAGGCCGTTTTTACTCGAGTGCACTCGGTAGAAGTGAAAAACCGCCGCGAGAAATCTGCTTTCTCAGAGGCGAGCTCGCTGAGACCGGTGTTTTTCGTAAGAACGCTTCGCGATTAACTAATTCGAAATGCCAGTTTCGGACGAAGAAATTTCGGGGATGAAAGCCAGGTCCAATGCAACGGCGCAATCGCGATTTCATAAGTCGCATGCGGGTAAATTGCACGGAAACGTCGACACACGAAATCGGCACGCTCGTTCAACACAGCGCCGCTCTCTCCTCCCATCCCGAGCTCGGTGCCGACGTACGAAATTTCCCTCGCTCGCCGGTCCGGCAGTCTCTGCCACCTCCCTCGATCCGTTTTCCCTCGTCCGCCCGTCCCCAGGAGGACCCTCGTCTCGGAAAATTCGATTTCAAGGATTTGCCGGCGACAGACACGAGCGCGGTTCTTTCACGGAGCAGCGCGACACCAACGGAGACGGTATTCTTGTACACGTACGAAAGCTATTGCGGCTCTTCGCCGGCGTGACGCGTCTCCGCGAGCCGCTTAATCGAAAGCTTGAATATTTTCAAATCAAATCCGAGCGTTTTATAATTGCCTTCTATATTTGCGCGGCAGGAGTCGGTTAAATATAGACATCGGGAGGCGAGAAAAATGTCGTTCGATCGTATCGCACCCCGACATTGTGCTACTCTGCACGGCTATGGCGACCGGTGTACTTATCACGGTAACAATGATCGATAAATTATTCCGTCTCAGGTTACTTAATGATGTTCTCACAATAGAATCGTATAACTATCACTAGTTTATAACAGCCGTTTCGCGAAGTGTTGCCGCGGAGTGTAAAGAAAAGGGGTTCACGTAAATGTACGTATGTCCTACTTGAGTCAGCTTTCAAGTTACGTTAGAGGCCACGTTGAAACATTATCTTATCCCCCGACCCGAGTGATACCATTGAATTATCACGCGTCCCACACACGTGTCTGCGTAACGCATTTCGGAGATCTCGAGACAAAAGGGGACACCGTATGCCTCTGTATCGAGACCGTTCGATCCGTTACAAAGCTCCCGGAACAGCGACAATCGAAACTCGCGAGAGAGACAGTTAACTCACCTCGATACGGTGCTCCAGGTAGTCCAAGGAACGATCCAAAAGCGGTCACGAGTTCCAAAGAGAAACGATCGAAAAAACCAAGAGGAAATCAAGATCGCCGGCGGCGCAGGGTTTCTCCCGGTGTTCGGTCCTCCCCCTCGAAGGGGTGCGCGAGTGCGTGCGTGCGTGCGTGCCTGCGTGCTTAAGGTCCCTCTCGCGTGCGGCGTAAGAACTCTTCCTCGGTGTTCGCGAAACGAGGTAAAAAGTAGACGACGAGGGGACGACCAAGTTCTCGTCGCCGTTGCCACGGTTCGTTTTCTGCCCGTTTCACGGCCGCCACACGAACTCGCCGTCGTCGTCGTCGCCGCTGCCGCCGCCGCCGCCGCCGCCGCCGCTCCGGCGGTTTTTTTTCCTTTAATTGCCCTCCTTAATATGCGAAACGACGCACGAATTTCAATGGGTTCGCGTGATTATTAATTAAGACGTTCCACCGAATCGCGGATCGAATGATGTACACACACCGCAAGGTGATCAGCGGGCCGGTCCCGGCCCGGCCCGATGATTGGTCGTGCGGAATGAATGTCTCCTTTCGTCCGGAGACCCTGATTAATTATCCGTTCGAGTAATCGGCGTCGTTCATTTACTTTATCCACCGGGTACACGTTCACGGGCGGATTTGAAATATCGCCGATGGCGGCCGGGCCTGGGCTAATTAACTTCGCGGGAAGTCGGCCGTGGCTAAGTCCTCTTCCGCTAGTAGGAATTCCTCGTGCACACGGTCGGGCATCCGTGGAGTGGTGGGGAAAATGATACTCTTCACGGACCGGGCGTCGTTCTTTTTAGAATTCGACGCTCTCGATCACTTCGGACGTGGTTCGCGGCTGCTCCGGCCTTCCCGAAAAGATACCCGATCGCTGTTGCCGTAAGCAGGTGACATCGGGCGGTATTCCAGTCACGACGCCGATGATCAGTCGTCCGCGCACGAAGAAAGATGTCCACTCGGGCTGCCGAGCGCGCGGCCCCTCTCCCTCGGCATCGGCAAAAAAATGTTTATCAACACGAGACGTCAGTCCGCGGCGAAGGGACGTCGATATCGACGAGTTTGCCAATATCGTCGCTCGTCCCACGTCGTTCCGGGCTTTTTTTTAATTAACCTCCCGCGGTAATCTGCGCTCTCTGGTCCACCGGCTCAAGTTATCCGCTAGACGGGCAACGTTGACGTCCCGCGGCCGATAACGAACGGTACAGGATCGGATTCAATTGGTCACGCGCGAACAATTCAAAACGGTCAGTCCCGGTGTGCATCGCGCTACTCGGCCACGCTTTTGTGTTTATTAATGACCGAACACGTTCTCGCGCGTGTGCCAACTTATCGGGCCGATCTAGGCTTCCGTTCCCTCCCTCTCCCTCGTTCCGGTCGCCTCTACCTCGCCTCTGTCCTCTTCTGTCCCCGTTGTCCGTCTCTATCGCTGCTCGGCGTTCGTTCCCGATTCTTAACTATCTATTATCGTCGACAGGTGAATCTGAATCTGGCAGAGGGGTTTTCGGTCCGCCGCGATTGATCGTGCGCCCGCGCGCGCTCTCGTGCACCGGTATCGGGATCACCGAATCCGTCGTCAGTGATTGACTCCGCGCGCAGCAACGGGGGATGTCTGTCCGCACATACGTCGGATTAATTACTCCGGCGGTTAGTCCGCACACTACGATCACTCGGTGGCCAAGTAACCGGTATATATACGGGTCCACCGGCCTCCAATTGCAGTTACTCGTGGCTGACGCACCGCAGAACGCATCTCGAAACCCGCACGCAGACGGCAACCCCGAGCATCGCACTAGAAACACCCTCGCCGGCACTCCAGAGTACTCGATCGCACTCGCGTCGACGGATCATGATGTTTCGAAACGAGGCACTGATTCAATGTAAACACACACACAATACGTACACGGACGCCGCACACATGCACACGTATATACCGGGGGCTGGGTGTACTGTTATACGGGGACGTAGTAGCGTCGACGGTCACCGATCTTGACGGGCTGTCGTCGTGGTCGTCGTCGTTGACGTTGTTGTAGCCGTTAAAGGTACTCGCTAACCGTGACGTACGATCGATTTCGGAAGGCGATCATCGATGATACTTCGTGGGGTGAGTAAAGTATCCTTTCCTTTCTCTCTCTCTCTCTCTCTCTGTCCCTCTCACTCTATCTCTCTCTATCTCTCTCTCACTCTCCCTCTCCCTCTCTCTCCCTCTCCCCTCTCTGTCGATTGGTGGTTAGTCACAACGCGGTCCGCGGTTTCACGTGGCACACTCGTCCTGGCGAATACGATCGACGGTATATCAATCCGGTAACGATACACAATTGTTATCGAACACTGTCGTGGTCCACCATATCGAGCCGGCACTTGTAAACAACAAGGTACGCGAACGAAATTTCAAAAATATATATATATGGATTTTGATTCACGTCGTCTGGCCCCGAATCACGCGGTTTTATCACTGGGAATCGTTTCTGGACCGATCGATAAACGTCACCGAGTTTGACAGATATCGTGGATCGTGCACGCGGCCCTCGAACGACCGTGGAAATCTGCACGCGAATCGGTCCTGTGGACCACCGTGATCCGGCCTCGGAACACACGCTCGTTGAACTGTCGTTCGGAGCAGCTCGGCCCGCGGTTTAGTATCAACGTTCGTTCTTGGCTGGCGTCGCGCCCCTCCCGGGACGCCGGTCGACGCCAATCGAGTGCGCGTATACCTATGTGCACGTACCTGCGAACCTGAGAGGAGAGCCCACCTCTACCATCCCCGTCTGAATCTCGGCTGTGCGCACCTCGACGCGCGGCACTCGTGTGCGTGCGTGCGTGCGTGCGTGCGTGAGTGCGTGTGCCGTTTTCTGTTTTGCGTCGGCCCCCCCTCGATTTATTTTCAAATTTTCAACCGCACGAACGGAGAAGCACTATCTGCCGGGGACGATGCAGAAATGATACGCGTGGGCGCGAACGTATATTTTCATATTTTAATTAGCACTGAAGCCTGATGTCGAGAATTCGCGAAGATAGAATTAACGGGTGTTCGTTTTTTCTAGGCCGACTGAAGCTGGAGAAGGTAATTGTTGGAATACGAGAATTTCGAAATAGCGGAATGAATGTTGCATGTTCATTATTAAAGTTTGTACGGTTTTGAGAATGTTTCAGGTTTTCTGGTTTCCAAGAACGAATACAATTTTATCGGTTCCAGGTACGGTAAGGTTTCGAGGTATTTCCGTCAAATTTATATAAACATTCCTACTGTACATTCTGATTTGTCGCCGATTCCCATGGGAAATTTTTGTAAAAACGATTACGGACGATAATGCATCGGAATTTCTGTAACATTTCATTTCGTTGTTATCCGGCAGCAAATATCTGCGTTATACATTGTTGATTCATCAAACATGAAGCCGTCGTTTGTATGCAGACGCATGCATTTACCGGTATCGTATTTTATTTTCGTATGTGTTTCTTCGAAACTGGTTCGCGCTATCGATTTTTCATTACGGGCACAACGGGTGACAGAAAATTAAGTGCAGAACGCTCGGGCTCACACGAAATTTCGATGCTATCGGCGCATTAAGGAGGTATTTTATGTCCATTAAATTCGAAATGTTATCGCGAACGATATCTACGATCGATACAAGTTTAATAAGAGGCCGATTCGACAGTTTTTTCCATATATAACTGATTTTCGTGGAAAGCATTAATTATACAACGCGGTTCAAATTTTAATCCCCCTTCCCTGTAATTATTAAACATTATTTCAGAAACGATCGATCGGAACGATACCCCGGAAAAATAAAATCGCCCCGAGGATGTGCGCAACGAAGGACGTACACTTCGTTTCGAAATATATTTGTTACAGACCGTTGCGAAACAGAACATTGTAGAAGTAATATAATAACAAGTATAAAACGACGTGATTCGATAAACTATTTGAAAAACGTCGGGGTATAACGAGATATTTCGTTATCCGCGGGTAACGAGATAAAACTTTGATTTGTTCTCGCAATATTGAATATCTGTTCGATTCATAGAATAATTAGTTCTATTATATTATTGGTATTGTTGTTCTCCGAATGATTTTCATTCGCGGCGTTTGTTTTCAATGACTTTGTGTCGTTGAAAGTGGCGAATCACGGTATAAACGAATCAAGGGTAGATGACGCAGACCGTAGACAGATCAAAGCTGGCGGCGGGTACATTAAGAGTTTACATCTCAGGTAGCTCAATTTAACCGAAGAACAGCAGGTACGCTGCTGGAAGACCAGGACTCGTTTTCCTTTTCATCGTATTACCATAGTTGAGTAGCACGCGCGAACAGCGAACGCGGAATTCACAGAGCTGCAGCTCGACCTTGCTCCTGCTCTAATTGACAGACGGTGATCTAAGGTATCGAATTTAAGCGTTCGTTTAATAACAAAACTGCTATTATTCTTCACTGTCTCCTCGTCGTCCCCGGCACCTTGTTATAGCCAGACTGGCTGCCTTCGACCTGATCGATAGAACGAGGCGAATTGATTTAACAATACCCTTTTGTTCTTCTTCATAATTTCCTATCCACGGAAAACAATTGGACAGCAAGAAAATTAAATTACGCGTAGACGAATGAAGCCTTGATTCCCATTTCGCGATTATCGATTATTATTTTACTCGTTCCTTTTGTCCCCTCGTTATTCCATAAAACGTTAAACGTTCTCCGCGTCGCTTCTTTTGATACACGACGATAAAGTATATGCGTAAATTCTGTAATTATAACGCAAAAAATATACTGCTTCGGCGCATTATAACAAAAGGATCATTGAAGATATCGAGCCGTGTTTCAAACTGATTTGAATAAACACTTTTGCCGTTACTGTCGGGTCACACGATTGTGGGACCGAATATGGCTACGTCCGCGTGCGGTTCGCGTTTTGTGCTCTGTGATTAAGTGGAACAAAAGCAGCTTTTAACTTGTTTCGGGAAACTGTATTCGAGTTGGAAATAAGCTTTTAATGTTGCTGAAACGTTTGGAATTAGATATCTGTTGATATAACAGTTCTGAAAGGATAGGTGTGTTTTATAAAAGAGTGAAATGCTTTGCGTCCAATTATAAATAAAAGTAATTAATGTGTTTCAAAAGCGCGATTGAATATACTGAATATCTACTGATTGCTGGAAGAAAAATTCAAGACTAAATATTTCAAGAAATCAGCTGAAGGATCGTTTTAATGTTTCTAGTACTGTTTTTTGCTGTAAAATGTCAAAACAGCGTAATTTGTATGATAACACTCTAATATTGAATATATGTATATATAGAAGTAATTATCACGAGTGTATCTGATAAATTATATATCTTATGCAACGAGAGGTACAAGAAATAAATGGTCAAGAGAGAATTTCAAGATAAATATTGCAAAACCACTATGTAAAGCATGATAAACAAGCAAACAGGTTGATTGCATATCAGTCAACGTTCTCCCTTTCATATTTACAAGTTTCTTTAGATTATAAATTCTTCAAATCAATTACTTTCACTTCTTCCATAAATAAGTTTTCGATTGCGAGATCGATTTCCCTAATAAATACATAAAGATACATACCCGGAACCCTTTCTCCAAAAATCAGTTCACAAAAGTTCCATGAAAAATAACAAGAGTACCAAACCAAAATACGTATAAAATTATACAAAACACATCTTATCATTTACCTACAACTACAATTGAAACAATATCGATCAATAATTACCACAATCCTAATCGCACAACAGTAACCACCAAATTCACACAAAATCACTTCATTCTTATCAAACTCACCCCACAATCTTCGGCACGCGTGAATGAAAACCACAACGCAACGTCGATGAAATTATGCAAATTAAACAATTATCACGAAGACAGAATAACACATTCGCCGATAAAAAAAAAGAGGAGGGGAGATTTCTGGTTGAATCATTTTCCGGAACGAGCGGCGCGTCATTACGCGTCTATTTCAGCTCGCAATCGCTTTCGTTTCCACTCTAGCACACGGCCCGATACGAGTGTACACGCGGAAAAGTATCGCCGGGAAGTTCCCGAGTACTCGATTCCGCCGGCGGTGTTGGCGGTTCACGTAAATGGAGAGAGAAGCCAGCATGCGGCACACACGCGCGTCGAGGGGCTCGAGGAGGGAGGAGAGATTTCATAGTCCATGTAGTTTGGCATCAATGCGAGATCTGGGGTTGGTTTCAGACGCGCGATAAAGCCATTTCAAATTGAATAACAGATTTCTGAGCACACAACAAAATGCACTTGCCGCGAACGCTTCTGAAACCCGGAAAAGAGGGTGGAACAATAGTGGTGCGCTTTCCTCCCCCCCTTACGCTTACACTTTCCATTTGGCCCGGCTGCGAAGCGCGGCCGTCTACCTCTCTCGGCAACCACCCGCGCCCGGAAATGATTGACACTCGAAATTTCGTCGTTACGGACGCGCTCCGTGAAATTTCTATTTAACTCGGTAATTAGTAAGCCGCGGTTGTTTATGCACGCGCAATATTTCCATTAAAAATAGGCAACGCGACGACGAGATCCGGGGAGAAATTCGTTTCGCCGGTTAAAGGATTTAAAACGTATATTTTCCATTTCGAATACGTCGCGTGTACTGTGCGTCGGATAGGCAATTCTATGGTAATCGTGTTATAGTTAATAGTATTTTCAAGAGTGTATAGATTGCAAGATTACAAGGTTTATCGTAGTCGTATTTAGCTTGTCATTACGTAACGTGCATCGGCGTTCTTCGGTGTGAAAATACTAACGGTGTGCAGTGTAACTGAAATTATCATACGCGAAATAATGAAATGATTGATATTTCAAAGGTACGCGTATAAATTACCTAGATATTACTCGCATGTATTCCGCATTTATGTTACTTGTATATCGCCTGCATTTTGCATATATATTATGTGCATGTTGCACATATTTTGCATATTTTACATCTGCATAAACATACGCCGTACGATAATTAATATACAATAGAGAGCGAGCGCTAGCGTTCAACAAATTAAAAATCGTTCTTCCATTTTTGTGCACGACCGTGCCGGAGAAATCTGACGGTTAACGAACAGGTTAACGGAAAGTACGTACGAACACAATTATATTTTAATTATTAGAATAATCCGATCATTTACATTCCCCCCGCGGTGCAATCTCTTCGTGCATATGACTTTTAACTGTCCCTTTTTTTTCTCGAAACGCGGTGATTTTAACCGAACAGAATTCACTAATTAACTTATCGTTTAAAGTGTTTCTGGACTGGTTTCACTTAAATCACTTTAGCCGATTCGGCCGCGATGCGATGTCGGGGCCAAACTTTTTTCGCGAGGATACCTTCGGACGGACATTTGAGAAACGCTCGAAGCGGAATCGAAATATGGCCACGGCGAACTGTGCCGTCGAAGGTCGACGGAAAATATCTGACGAGTAATTAAGAGGCTATCGTTACATTAAGTCCGCATTTACATGCAATTAATATTACACACCGACTCGTATCGTTTGATTCATTGGGGATTTAATGGGGCCCGACAATTAAAAGGAACTGGTTTCCGTCGAGCGCGTCGCTTGTACGAAAACGTCATCTCGGATTTTTGTTATTTAAACGAATCGAGTGGAAATTAAATACGAACGATACTTTTAATTTTAATATCAGCAAAACCGAAAATCGATATCCCCGACTAAAATATTCAGTATGATTTCGTCTACCAATTTCCAATCCGCTGATAGAATCGTTGGAAAGGTGAAAGACGAATACGTTTCCACTATTACGTAAAATATCACCGATATTTTTAGAACGTAGCTTATTCGCGCGTATCGAATTCTCGACGTAGCTTTCAATCACGCGCCGACGCGTTCTAACTGTATAGAATAACGCGCCGGGGCAAACAATCGCGCCGCATTCGATGAGGCCGCATTAAAAATCGTTAATAAACCGGTACAAATAATAATTATCAACGTGTCAAACTGCCATTGTTCCCCGAACAGGAACGTCGCATTAAAACGCGCGCGCGACGCTCCACCGCAATCACGCCAGAATTTTGTAAAACAACGATTACAAATTCATGCGATCCCCGCGTCCCCGATAATTATCGCTCGCATCGGTGCGTCGCTTATCTAACGTGCGCGTTAAACACGCCGTCGCAGCTCGCGGAACAACAATTCAGTACCATTCGAATCCCGCGGAACGTCGACGCGAAACTAGGTCAATTAATAATCGCTTCAATATGTAATTTCCCGGTGCCATCGAACGGCCGCCGCCCTTATCAACAATTTCAATTGCTTTTACGCAATCGCGTTGCGAGATCGCCGTCCGCGATGAATTCCGTCACGCGACGTCACGGGGCGTCACGGAAATCTCTTCGGGGCGGTAACGGCATCGTTGCGATCGGTCACCGTTCACCGTATGTATGTATGTATTTCGAAACGATCCGGCCGTTTCGAACTTCCGGCGAGACTAATATTCCGAAAGTTTTCACGGTTGACACGTGAACGGGCCCGGCGTGATCGGCACCGCGAGAATTTTACGCCGTGAGTTTCGGGGCTCGAAGCTCGGTCGACACCTCGGCGGCCCGGAAACCGGGCAGAAACGAAGTTTGCGCGGCGCGTTCAGTCCAAAGCGCGATGCCTGTTACGTGTTATGTAGATGCCGCCGCCGGACGGATGGTTATATGGCTTTCCGCGGGTACCACTAGGTATACCCGGTTGTACGAAATTAGCATGGCCGTGATAGAATTGAATTTATTCATGTACGATTTAAACTAGCTGACGAGGGTAGCGCGCGCCTTTGTCGACCGCTCTCGCCAGTTCCTCGCTTTCTTCCTGCGCTGTCCGTCTTCGTCTTTCACGGCTCTGTATATGTATGCCGATCGCTCTCACACGTGACCGGCATCCGTCCGTGCATCGTTCGGACTCTTGTAGACCCGGCGAACCGTCGCGTGTGTGTTCTGCTCCGCGACACGATCGGCTCCTCTCTCTCTCTGTGCCCGTGCAAAACCGCGCGGCCAGCGCAGCGCCAGCACGAACTCCGCATGCCCTCCCGCGCGTGCCACTCGTGCATTCTTCGCGCCGATCGAACGTTATGCAGATCCGCCCCGGGCTGAATTTGTGCCCGATGCCGAGGCAAGGTCGTGCATCTGGCGACTGAGTGACCGACAGACTTTGAGCGGCACGGACACAGGATTTCGGGCAGTCTTTGATGGAATCGCTGGCGTAGGGTGGGTTATTGGAAAATATGCTTTGACCGGTTGCACTCGAGAGGTGACTCTTTCCACTTGATCTGATACAGCAATTAAGCTTCGCGTAATCGATTAATACGTGATACGTTCAAGCTTTGTTTCTTGATTTATGTGAATTATGTGAATTGCATTAATACTTAATTCTTAATTTTTGATTTCTCGTTGAGCAATAAAAAATGTATCGCGTCGGAAAATGTTAAATGTTTTTAATGAAGAACTTTTGAGAGCAAAGGGTTCAGATATTGAGGGTAGAATGTATATGTTGTTCCATATGATATATAGTGCTTCGATAATTGTTAGATCAGCGACCGATTGGATAGAATTGTTTGGTAGTTTTCCATTCCCTGCCTCCATTCGAAGCACGCGGTTCTTTAATTGTCTAGTTCGTTATATTTCAGCATAGTTCGAATGTTCACCGGAACACGTCCGTTGTATCAATAATCTGGCGGGAAGCCGGGCTAACGTCGGAAAGGAATTTGAATGGAGTGCATTAATCGTTCCGCGTTCGTTATCGCATAAATTGCGCATTCTTGTCGCGAAATGAATTTCCCGCGTTCCCTAATCGAGTGGAAATGATTTAATAGCGTATTTAATCGGCGAGCAACGTCGAACGATGAAACCATTCTTCGTCGCTGCATGCGGAAGCTGGTTTAAGCAAAGTATCGATCGATTAAAACGCGAAAGGGATCGATGAAGTACGAGGGGCTGCTATAGGTACGTACCTAGAGACCTGCGGTATTCGACTGCGCGAGACGCTTGTTTATCGGTGCTCGTATTCAATCCGCTCGGTAATGTCGCAGAGTACGGAGACATTTTCGGTGACCCGATTAGCCGGCAGAAACAAGGTAGGGAATGAAGGTGGAGGAGGAAATAAATATTGCAAAGACGATGTTAGACGAATCGACAGGGAAATCTACTTTGCAAAATGGCGCTTCGTCGCCGGTCCCTGAAACGCTGGGCGTGCACGTGTCACGTGTACGTGTTCTCACCGAATCAGGCACCGAGTAGTATTTACGAACAACGGCGAACACGTGTCGCGCCTTACTAAACTATGTACTATCCCAACATGACGACAATGACATTAATTGCTCCCGAATAAATCCCGCGGAGAAAGGAAATTTTTACGAATCGTGAATGTAAGTGTACGCCGCGTCCGCATCCTTTTCGTATTATTTATGCATAGACCAAGAAAATGTTTCTTCTTACAATGGTAACGGTTTTGCATTACGGACAATTAACGAAAAGTTTATATCTTAAAATGTAAATGTGTTAACGTTGAATGCCGCACGATTTCATAGAGCGAAAGATAAAAGATGGAAAAAATATAATATTAAATCGTTTGTATGAAATGCATTACGATAAATGGCGTTAGGTAGCATTATTTATAATGTAGAAATATTTTCAAATATTCATCTTTTAATTGAATGAACTACAGTAATTTGATTTGGTTGGAGGTCACATGTTCAAAATCTTCTGGAAGCTATTATTCGATGCGCGATACTTCTTTTATAGTCGAATTAATCAGTTAGTACTGCCCTATGTGTATACAGAGAGTACCGCAGTACGGGAATCAATTCAACAAGATGTAATCTCGAGGTTCACTCGCGTCGAGATTAAAAAGTCACTGAGATGAAATTAAGAAGTAACTAAGAGAGGGCGAAACAAAGGAGCAGCCGGGATACGCGGAGGTGCCGCGAGGTTGAAAAACGGTTCT